TAATATTCCTTATAGTGAGAATAAATGGATGTTGGGCCCCAACATGGAGGTTATTATGTACAAGGATATAATATAAATTATTAGTATAAATATCCATGAGAACAACACTGCTCATTTCTGAAAATATAGTCTTTAAGTTACAATTGATTTAGGATTGTTTGCCTTTATGTTGGCACAGAAGTAACTTTCCTCTGAATATTTTGAATTTGGATTCTTTCCCAGGCTAGTGATAGGTGACCCAATCTCCCCTGCCCTGATTGGCAGAACAGTGAGCCACAGCTCTTAATCAGCTATGAGATCTCTGGAGGAAACAATCAAAACTGCAGAGGACTGGTTGCTAAGCTAGTGAGCTCTTTGGTTAGGTCTAGTCTGTGTGCATTTGATTTATAATGTTTTCACCTTAACGTTGGTTTGGGGGGATGTAACCCTCATCATAAGCTTCTCTATTTTTTAGAAAGTACGATTAAAAAGAGAGCAAATAGACCACATTATCACCTAGAGATTATACGTACTAAATATATGTATACAGGTTTAGATCCTTATACGTAAAACAGTTGTTGGACACATTTTTAATTACCTGAACAAGAAGAAAATGATGGAGGAAATAGGGTGCGAATAGGTATAGAAGTTAGACACCTTTCAGCATATTTTGTCTTATAGATGTAGTTTTGGAGCAATGTAAGTATTTTATGTAATTTAAAGCAAAATTTAAGAAACAGTCACTAAAAATCAAGTCAAATGTATGAAGAAAATATGTTTCTGGTTGGTAATATTGTGACTCAGAAATTATTACAAGTGACATTAAAATACAATTATTTTACTATATACTTTTAATATAATATACCTTCAAAAGGTAATAAAATTTTGTAAAAATACTTTATAAACTATTTTCAGTAATCATTGTGTCAATGTTGATATTGATATTTTTAGTTAGTCAGCAATAAATTAAATGAGAAATTGTAATAGTCTTTGAAAACTGTAAAGAAACAGAATAGACAGTAATTTTTTTTTTTTTTTTTTTTGTGCTGGTCATGGGGCCTGAACTCTGGGTCTGGACGCTATCCCTCAGCTTTTTAGCTTGAGGCTAGTGCTCTACCACTTGAGCCACAGCATCACTTCCATCTTTTTCTGCTTAAGTGGTGCTGAGGAATTGAACCCAGGGCCTCATATATGCAAGGCAAGCACTCTACCACTGAGCCACCTTCCCAGCCCTAGAGACAGTAATTTAAAATTCTATAGTCCTAAATTTAAGTTTGACTGTCAATGTTTAGTTGTATATCATGTTTTTTGGGGTAATTTTTTAGACAGCCTCTCCCAATGTAGCCCAGTCTGGCCTCAAACACATATGTCTCTTGCCTCTGCCTTCCAAGTATTGGGATTACCACATCCATCTTATTGTTAACTCTGAATTCTATCTCTTAATACAAGTGGTGGATCAAAAGCAGAGTACAGGATGATGTGGAACATCAGGTCATACCAGAAAGCAAAGATTTAACAATATTGGAGTTCTGTCTGAGAAGTCTCAGAATTGGCTCCCAGGGCCAGTTTGAACAGGCTCCCACCAGCCAGAGCTAGGACAGTGTGAGGAGTAGTGTGATGAATTCGAGGGAGTCAAGTAAGTTTAATGCTAGGAGCTGTGAAGTTGTACACAAGCAAAAACTCTTTCCCATCACCCTTTGGACTAGTAGGGAAATAATTCAGGGAAAAATCAGGTGTCATCTTTCACCTTCCATATGTGAGCATTTCTCAGAGTAATCATATAGTTGTTGAGGGTCAGTTTCTCTTACCAAAGTATTCCTTCTAATAAATAAAGATAAAATGCTACCAACATTTTGTTGAGAGTTCATAACCCACCTCTGACCTTTACATGCAAACAGAAATGAAACTAAATCCTGAATCTTTAGTTCTGATGATGTACAGGAGATGGAAGAGACAAAAGAGTATGTTAAATTAAAACAGTTTATGGCTCATTACAGAACAAATAAATGGCATTTCAACAAATTGCTAGGAAAGAACATGATAGAAAAATATGTAGATTAAGAATTATGAAGCATCTGGGGCTGGGAAGGTGGCTCAGTGGTAGAGCGCTTGCCTTGCATGCCTGAGGCCCTGGGTTTGATTCCCCAGCACCACATAAACAAAAGGAAAAAAGCCGGAAGTGGAGCTATGGCTCAAGTGGTAGAGCGCTAGCCTTGATCTGAAGAGCTGAGGGACAGCTCCCAGGCCCAGAGTTCAGGCCCCACGACCGGACCCCCCCAAAAAAAAAAAGAATTATGAAGTATCTTAACCATTGTATCTTAACCAGATGCAATATATGAATTTTAATTAGTAGAAATAAAAACATTTATAGGACATTTGAGGGAATATAAATACTGCTTTGATATTTAATGATATTAAAAAAGTTGGCTGAGCTCCAATGGCTCACAACTGTAATCCTAGCTACTCAGGAGGCTGAGGTCTGAGGATATAGATTTGAAGCCAACCTGGAAGGAAAGTCCATGAGGCTCTCATCTCCTATTAATTACAGAAAAAGCCAGAAGTGAAGCTGTGGCTCAAGTGGTAGAGTGCTAGCTTTGAGCAAAAGATGCTTAGGGACAGGCCCTGGCCCAGAGTTCAAGTTCTTGGACTGGCAAAAAAAAAAAAAAATCATGGTGTGTGTGTGTGTGTGTGTGTGTGTGTGTGTGTGTGTGTGTGTGTGTGTGTGTGTGTGTGTGTGTGTGTGTGTGTGTGTGTGTGTGTGTGTGTGTGTGTGTGTGTGTGTGTGTGTGTGTGGAGAGAGAGAGAGAAAGAGCCTTATTGTATCTTTTTTTTTTCCTCCTAGGAGGAAGGCATATGTTGACATAATTACAGTAAAATGATATAGTATCTGGGATTTGCATCAGATTCTCTAGGGGAGATGAGCATAGTGTTATAGAAGGAGCAAAATCAGTCATGAACTAAGAATAGTTGAAGATTACTGATAAGGCCTTGAGGCCCTTATGTTATTCTCTGAACTTTTGTTAAATTCTAAATTTGTCATTATAAAAATTGTATAAGAAGCTAGCCACAGCAGTTTCATAAGAATGACTTAAAAAAACAAGTCAAAAATCCAAGCTTGCAATAGACATTTTCAAATTTACTGTCACAATATAAAATGCTTTATATTAGTTTTATGTTTGTAGGAAAATTTCAGAGATAGTACAGAGTACCCATATACTTTTAACCCATTTTTCCCATTATTAATGTCCTGTATTATCATGACACATTTGTCAAAACTAAAGAATTCATGTTGGTATGTTACTATTAATGAGATACCAGATTTTATTTAAATTTCACCAATTTTTCTATTATAGTCTTCTTTCTATTGTGGCTCTACTCAGGGTACCACTTTGCATTTAATTGTCATGCTCCCTGGTCTTCTTTGGTCTGCGTTGGTTTCACAGTCTTTCCTTGCTTTTCTTGACCTTGACAGTTTTGTACTCAGCAGATATCGTACAGGATGCCTCCAATTTGCATTTGATGTTTTTCTTAGGATTAGATCAAGTTTATGGATTTTCAGGGAAAATACCACAGAGATTAAAGACACATCTCTCCATATCTCATTTGGAGGCTCATGTTATCAATGAAGTGTCACCTAACTCTGTGAGCCGTCAATTGTACAATTGAGATAACATTTGCCAGATTTTTTTCCCCGCTATAAATTGAAGATTTTTCTCCCTTTTCTTGTTATATTCTTTGAAAATAGTCACAAATTCTTTTTTTTGGGGGGGGGGAGGGTCCATTCGTGGGCCCTGAACTCTGGGCCTGGGCGCTGTCCCTCAGCTCTTCAGCTCAAGGCTAGCGCTCTACCACTTGAGCCATAGCGCCACTTCCGGCTTTTTTCTTTTTTGCTTATGTGGTGCTGAGGAATTGAACCCAGGGCCTCGGGCATGCAAGGCAAGCACTCTACCACTGAGCCACCTTCCCAGCCCGATAGTCACAAATTCTTGATCACATTCAAGTTTGTGGACACTGGAGGGTGCTTAAGCCTTACTTTTGGGGGAGAGGGCTGTGACAGAGTCTCCCCAACCACCCCCAGTTTCAGTGACTCACTAGAATGCACAAGACACATCATATGGACATATTCATGGCTAAGTTTTATCCTGGAAGAAGGATTCAGAGCAAAATGAACAAAGGAAGAGAGGTACATGGAAGAAGTTTGGAGCAAACCAAGTGGGATCTTCCAAGAGGCTCTTCCCAGTAGAATCCCAGAGGAAGTGCACCATACCCCCAGAAACTGATTGTGGTAGACCATATAAAGTGCAATCTACCTGGAAGCCTGAAGCCTGCCCAAGCTTAGGAAGCCAGTGTTTGTATAGGGCTAATAATGTAGGCATTGTCTACATGTACCAGGATTCCATGCTCCCAGAGGAAAGAGATGTTCAGCACTAACCACATTCTTTGTACAAACAGCTTAGGCATAGTGAGCCCCTTATAATTTGTGGAAAGTTCTGTACCAGTGTAGAGAATTGTTTACTGCTCAAGTTTCCAGTCTCCTCTAGGGCCAGCCCTGAACTTTCTAAGCATAGGCTTTCACTGTTCAGTTTTTTCTGTGTGGAAAGTATCTATAATCTATTTACTTTTGTCATCTCTTATTTTGAGAGAAAAGGAATCAAAAAATGTAATACATAATAATAGAAGCAAATGGAGTTTGAAATCAGATAAAGCATCTGATTTAATGAAAGGGTGTCTTTTGGCGAAATAGGTAAAAATTTAAGCCTCTGTTCTTTTAATGTTTTATTGCCCATTTTTAAACATTGCTGTGAAAATATTAGTCATATTGCAGCTCCTGGGAGCATTTCATAATAAAAATAAAAAAACGCCTCTAGGTTGCAACCTCACTGATTGCCAAATAAGTAGAAGAAAGCTGTGAAAATTTCAGTAATAATAGTAACATAACCAAGATTTAGGTGGGAACCTCAGAAAGTAGTTACTAAGACTGAAGACACAATCTGTACTAGTCATTTGCTTTGTTTTAATAGGAAAAACGTAATCTGCGAGAATTGCGGGTTCTTGAAAACCTAAAGAACATGATCCATGAAACAAAAGAACATACTCTTCCCAAATGCAGAGAGACAATGAAGGACAACTTGGAGGAAGTTCTCCAGAGATGTAAGCCAGTGACTTCTTTGATTTTGATTTTAACTTGAAATGAATGCTATACCAGAAACATTTTCTTGACTGTTACAGTGGGAAATAGAAAGAGGAAATTCCAAATGGGACTATATGGGAGGGAAGCCCAGTCACAGAAAGTACTTGTCTGGTGGTGGTTGTATGTTGCCAATGATGGTAAGAACATTAATCTTCAAAACAAGATATGTGTATCCACAGTTCACAAGACAGTCCTTAGGATGTAAGAAAATGAAACTCTTTACCTTCAAGAAGTTAATTTATAAGAAAGTGTTTGATGAGCAGGAATTAGGACATAAATGAAGCTTCTTTTTTCAAATAAGCTATTAAAGGTCTTAGCTTTTTCCAAAACATAATCTTTTCATAATTAATTATTGCTTTACGCCATTAAGCAAAATGTTTTCATGCAAAGAGATAACTGATTAAAAGAATGTTAATGTTCTTTAATATCAAAACATCACAGAGTAAAAGAAGCTTTATTTCTGATTTCAAAATTAGAAGTTTTCAGAAATTCATGTTATATTGAGTACTCAGTTTGTGCACTGGCAAATAGTGATGGATTACTGAAGTGCAGAATGCAGGAGGATGTCAAGAGTGACCTATAGTAGACTGACTAGCAAGAAGGTAGCAGAGGGACATTTGTTAGTGATGATGGTCCTTAAGTTTGTGTGTTAGTCCAGCTTAATGGTCTTTTGTACTCTAATGCTAATAGAGGCTGGAAAAGCTCCAGCTCATATTTGGTTTCTTTGAGTGGAACAGCAAAAAATCTAAAATTGACTTGAAGCTTTTGCATTTTATTACAAACATACTCTTTTCTCTAATTCTTCCATATCCTTAACCCTTACAAGCATTTTAGATCCTAAACTAAAAGGAAAACTCTCATCTTTATTCATCAGAATGTTTATGTGTGAAACAAGATGAGCCTGTAATGTCTTTCCCACACATTAGGTATATAAAAGTAAACAGTGTGGGTCCCTTGCCATGGGATGCCTGGCACTGCCTCAGGACGTGACCCTCAACAAGGCTATGCAGATGTGTCTCTCAACCTTGGAGCAGAGCCATGAACAAAATACATCTCTTTTCCTTATAATTTATCTGTTGGCTTCAAGATGGGATGTAAGGTTTTTGTTTTAATCTAGGAAAGATCTTCTTATATGGGTTATAGGTGAATGCTGTGTCTCTCAACTGGACAACAGGACTTCTAAGAATTTGAAGGATTTTGATGTATCACGTCCTGTTGTCATTTTATCACTGTTTGCAGTTGTACCAAATAACACCAAGCCTTGGGGATCTCATGCGTATATGATAACATTGAAAGCTCTAGATATTAGTCTGAATTCACATCCTCTGGAATGGTGGAGTATATTTGTAAAGCTGTGTCCAGTTGTACAAATAGTAAACGTATTATGAGAAGCAATCAGAAGTCTAGGGGTACTTTGTAGCAGTGCTGTTGGAGAAGGGGCTTAGGTAAGAGGACCCTACGAAGTGACCAAAGAGAACTTGGAATTCAGGTATCCAGGCAGCCACATTCTAGAGCTTGCCCCAACTGGCAAACTTGTCCTGTGATAGCAAAGAAAATGGCATATTTTCTTGCTGCTTTCTGGTTTTTTTTTTTACTGGTTCAGACTCCAGAAGATCCTGCAGAGAATGCCTCTAGACATTGGATCCACCCTGGACCCAGACCTTAACCCCAAACCATACCCTGAAGAAGTTTCTAACCCTTTACATATAGAGATTGGCAGTGACACCTGGCAGCTCAGATGAAGACAGCAGGGATCCAGACACTGCTCAGACTCCTCCAAGCCAATCCTAGGTACCAACAGTGGTGGGTGCCCAGTCGGCTGTGCCCATTCCACTGAAAAGAAAACTGTGTTAGGCTACAGCAGCAGCTGAAAAATCAGCATGTGCTCTAACTGCCATGGATGCCAAGATGCCCACTTTATCTCAGATAGATAGAAGCTCCAGCTGGGCCTGCAGAAGAGCCATCTTTGCTGTGTACCCACATGGATCAGTCCATAGCAGCTGAGACATGCTCAGCTTCAACAGAGGCATCATCCCACAACATGGGAGAGCAGTTCAGCATGTTGTTGTACATGTGCCCATGGCATATGATAACGAATGAGCTCAGGGCACAGTCGATGATGCTTGATTTGCCTTGTCCTCACCACTTGAGGACAGAGTGGCAGCTGAAGGGGCACAACACAGGGCAGTTGATCTGTAGCTGGAGGATTTCTTGTTCACGGCATTCAATACAGACTGTCCTGTACTTGTGTCAGAAGATGAATAGCCACAAGAAGATGATCTAGGATCTAGTTCAGGATACCTGACACAGATCTGTGCCACCAGATGCCAAAGCACTGCTTGTGAAGAAAATCCTCTTCTACCAGTAGCCAATGTTTCAAAGGCATTCCACATTCCAGCTGATCTCAATCTTGAAGTGTTGCCCATGTCATATAGGACAAGTGGACCTCCAATCTGTGACTGTTCTTGCTGCCCCACAAATCTAGCAGGCTCTACAGACTGTCCAATATAGACCCCTCTTTACATGCAAAGGCAAATTAGCTCCAGCAGATATATCCCAGTTTGATTGCAGTTTAAGACTGGGAGCTCAATTTAGGGTGTGAAGGTAGAAACTTCGAAACTCCTGAGCTCCACTGAGCACCACCTGAAGCTCAAGTACTTAAAGAAGTCCTTTTCCCTCCTTGGAAGTTATCTGCTGTTTGTTTTTTTCCTGCACGTAATTTTATGATTGATTTTAATAAGTTTACTGTTTATTAAAAAAAGTATGAAATGTATTATAAACCTGTGAGCAGCTATTTTGACTGTTTTTATTCTCAAGATCCAGTTATATGAACATTAGCTTCTTTAAAAGCAACAAAAAGAATCACTGGATTGGGAATCTAGACTGAAAATATATTTTCTTGACTAGAACAATTAAAACACTAAATAATGAAGTTAGTAGTTTGGATTCTAACATCACTGCAATATCTGAGTCTTATTGTCATCTGTAGAAAAAAGAATGTAGAAAAAGACAATGCTGTTTGGAGTGGTTTTCCTTGTTGAACAGGAAAAGCTTCAGTACAACTCCAACATGAGGATTTTCTTGCCTGTTTTGCTGAGCATCACTGTCTGCAAGATTCAGAGTGCTTAAAAACTGACCTTGGTCTGCTAGCATTTCTAGCAAATTATTTTTGTTTAAAACGATGTTTTAACCACATGTTAACTGATATGTTAACTCATTCTATTGAATGATCAGGTAGTTGTGTCAAATTATTCATGGACTATTCATGGATTATCTTCTCATCAAAGCACATCATAAGCCTAGTGATGAATTTTGTTTTGTGCCTATCAGTAGAACAATTACACATACACACACATACACATACACACACATATATGTATATGCATGCTGTGCTTCTGCAGATGTGAATCTTACTCCACTGGTCCAAATTTGTGCACCACTGAACTATATCCCCAGCCAGGGAATTTTAATGTGTATATATTGGTATTGGGGAAGGGCCCTGTGTTCTTGCTTGGCTTTTTTTCTCATGGCTGATACTTTATCACTTTTTAGTCACAGTCAAGCCATTTTTAACAGAAAGAAAACAAAAAAAAAATCACACTAAATAATTACCTAAAAGTAATCATTGCTTTGGTGAGCTTCATTCTGAACATCTCTACATATATCCAAATAGAAGGATAAACAGAATAGACTATAGAGGTGCTGGCTGATTGGGTAGAGGGGAGATGTTATTTTATGTATCTGAAGTTTACACATAGATGTGCAGAAAGTAAGACAGTTTTACTAGAATGTGCATGTGCCTGTGTGACGCAACAACTGGGAGTGCTGAGCTCCTGGAGTAAGGTTTTGCTTAAGAGAAAACCATCTGACAGATTCTCGACTTTCTTGAAAGTCGTCCATATAGGCCGCTGAAAGCCTGAGACAGTAGGCCATCACTTTATGGCCATTGCTGCATGCCACACTAGCCAGATGGCCAGATTGCAGAAGAAGGCCTCTTCCTCAGGGAGTCACTCAGAAAGGAAGAGGCTTGCTTTCCGTAGTCACGTGATTGTTTTAGATTTTAGAGAAGCAAATTTTATTAGTTTACCAATTCAGAAAGTATTATATGGCTGAGAGGTTAAAATGCAAATTACTTCACAGGGTCTGAAATTCCAAAAAAAAAAAAAATGGATATTCTGTCCAAACATAGTATGTAATCCTGTGGAACAAAGTTCTAGCTGAATTCTTAAAGGTTGGAAGAATTGACTGAATAACCCAGTCCTATAGCTCTTTCTTTACAATAAGCTCAGGATGATCTGAAAATGTTGAAGCAAAATTGGGTTTTAGTTACATTTACGAAGTCAGTAAGAAAAGAAAAAAACGCAAGCAGGAAATGATAGAACCAGCACTTGGGAAGAATGATGTAATACTAACATGCCAGAAAGCAAGTAGAGCTAATCAACTCCTACTTTGTTTTCACTTAGAAAAAATAAGTAAAGACCAGGAACCTAATTTTCAGTCCTTAAATATTATCCTTGATACAACTAAAATTAATGATTACTGATAACCATTAACACAGCTTTTTGAAAACAAAATCCTCCTCTTCCCAGAAGCAGAGGCTTAACATTTCTGACAGAGAAATCACATTCTCTGCCCTGCTGTGGAAATCTGACCTCGTTGGGACTAGCCTGGATTGGAGTGGAAGACAGAACTGTAAAACAATTGGTGAACCTCCAGTTTAAGCAAATGCAAGTGCATGTTGAGGTACAGGTGCACACACCACTAATGAAGGAATGTCATCTTTTAGGGAAGGCTCTCCAAAGGCAGTAAACTTGAGCCGAGCTTTTGGAGGAGGGAAAGCTTTTGAAGGCACTCTCAAGCTAATACACTGCATAGAACAATAGTAGTGACATGCCTTAACAGTGTGTGTGAAGAATGCCTGAAAGTGGCTTTTATTTATTATCCCATTAAATTATTCCATCTTGTTCTGGAGTCCCATTAGTTTTTATGTTCATTTTAGGAATGAGGAACTGAGGTGCTGTGGGCCCAAGAGCAGCCATATGAACAGTGCCTAGGAATGACTCTGAGAGAGGACATCCCCAGAGCAGTCACCCTAGGAGGCTCAAGCTTAGGTTCACTGAGGCTGACTCTTAGGACTGCACATCCTTACTTGGTTGGAGTGACTGAAATTAATGTGTTAAATGAAAATACTTGAGAACTAAAGAATTAAAAATATTTTTATGAGATAATAAAAGTAGGAAAATAATTGAGCCAAGTGTTTATAAAGTCAAGAAGCATCTGGTTTGGAATGCTGTTTCCTGTACTTATTTTGCCATCTTGAATGACATACCTCTCTGGAATTCAGTTTTGTTTTTTTTTTATTATTGTGGAAATACTGTACAGAGGAGTTACAATTACATGGGCAAGATAATGAGTACATTTCTTATCAAGCATTGTAGCCTCCTCATTTGTTTCCCCTTCCCATCCCTTCCCATCCTCTCCCTGCCCCCCTAATCCTCCCCGCCCCCCCCCACGAAAGTTGTAAAGTTCATTTTCGACATAACGACTTGTACATCTCATTGTTGCAATGAGTCCACCTGTATCCCTATTTAAACGATTTGTTTTTCCCTTTCCCCTCCACAAATTATACCGACATCAAATACAGTGAAAGCAGGGGTTATATAATCTTATAAATGTGTTAGAAACAATTGCATGAAAGAAAAAAAACATTTGAATACATATCTTAGGGTTCATTTCCCTAACGTCAACTTATCTGACCTTTTTCTGCTTGACTCAGACATATACTAGATATTGCAAATAAGGGAAACCATGGGACCTATGTTTCTTTGGGCCTGGCTTACTTCACTTAATATGATTTTTTCCAAGCCTTTCCATTTCCTAACAAATGGGGCAATGTCATTCTTTCTGATGGAGGCATAGAATTCCATTGTAAATATATACCACATTTTCTTGATCCATTCATCTACTGAGGGGCATCTGGGTTGGTTCCATATCTTAGCTATGGTAAATAATGCTGCAGTAAACATAGTTGTGCTGGTAGCTTTAGTATGGTCTTGTTTGTGATCATTTGGGTAAATGCCCAAAAGTGGGATTGCTGGGTCATAGGGGAGCTCTATGTGGAGTCTTTTCAGGAACCTCCATACTACTTTCCAAAGTGGTTGAACACGTTTACACTCCCACCAACAATGCAGTAAGCTTCCCTTCTGTTCATATCCCCTCCAGCATCTGTTGTTATTAGAGTTCTTGATTATAGCCATTCTAACTGGGGTGAGGTGGTATCTCAATGTTGTTTTGATTTGCATTTCTTTTATGGCTAGGGAGGTTGAGCATTTCTGCATGTGTCTATTGGCCATCCTTCTTTCCTCTTCAGAGAAGTTTCTCTTTAAGTCTTTAGCCCACTTATTTATTGGGCAGTTGTTTCTTTGAAGATTTGTTGTTGGGGGATTTAATTTTTTGAGTTCCAGGTATATTTTAGATATGAGACCCTTGTCTGTTATATGGCTAGTGAAGGTCTTCTCCCAATCTGTGGGCTTTCTATTGATCTTGCTAGCTATGTCCTTTGCCATGCAGAAGCTCTGCAATTTCATGCAATCCCATTTGTCCAACCTTTCTTTGATTTGTTATGTTTCTAGGTCTCTATTAAGAAAATTTCGGCTGGAGCCAAGGAGATCTAAGGTTTCTCCTATTTCATCCTGTAATGTTTTCAGAGTGTCTGAGGTCTTTGATCCATTTGGAGTTGATTCTAGTGTAGGGTAATATATAAGGATCTAGCTTTAGTTTTCTACAAGTGATTAACCAATTTTGCCAGCACCATTTACTGAAGAGGCTGTCTTTCTTCCATTCTATTTTTTTAGCTCCCTTATCCAAGATTAGATGGTTATAGGTCTGTGGGTTCATTTCTGGATTTTCAATTCTATTCCATTGGTCCTGAGGTCTGTTCTTGTGCCAGTACCAAGCAGTTTTGATGACTATGGCTTTGTAGTAGAGTTTGAAATTTGGTATTAATATTCCTCCAGCACTGTTCTTTCTGTTAAGGATCATTTTTGCTATTTGGGGTCTTTTATTGTTCCATATGAATTTTTGGATTGCCTCTTCTATTTTCTTGAAGGATGTGGTTGGAATATTGATAGGTATTGCATTGAATTTGTAGATACTCTTGGGAAGTATTGCCATTTTCATGATGTTGATCCAATCCAGGAGCATGGGAAGTTTTTCCACTTTCTAAGTTCTGTTTTGATTTCTTTTTACAGGTTTTTAAAGTTTTCATCATAGAGGTCCTTCACTTCTTTGGCTAATTCCTAGGTATTTTATTTTTTGTGTGTGGGGCTATTACGATGGAGTTGCTTTCCTGATTTCAGCCACGCTTTTCTCATTGTTGGTTTTTGAGGGTTAATTTTATACCCTGCTACTTTGCGAAAGTTTTTTTTTTTTTTTTTTTTTTTTTTGGTCAGGGGGTCCGGTCGTGGGGCCTGAACTCTGGGCCTGGGCGCTGTCCCTCAGCTCTTTAGCTCAAGGTGAGCACTCTACCACTTGAGCCACAGCGCCACTTCCGGCTTTTTTTCTTTTTGCTTATGTGGTGCTGAGGAATCGAACCCAGGGCCTCATGCATGCAAGGCAAGCGCACTACCACTGAGCCACCTTCCAAGCCCCTTTGCCAAAGTTTTGAATCAGCTTGAGTAATTTGGGAGTGACAAGTTCATGTCATCTGCAAAGAGGGAGCGTTTTACTTCTTCTTTCCCTATTTGGATCCCTTTGTGTTTGCATCTTGTCTTATTGCTGTAGCTAGGCATTCTAATACTAAATTGAAGAGAAGTGGAGAGAGTGGACATCCTTGTCTCGTTCCTGAGATAAGAGGAAATGACTTTAGTTTTTCACCATTAAGTATAATGCTGGCTGTAGGTTTGTCATTTACAGCCTTTATTGTATGGAGGAATGTTCCCTGGATTCCTAGTTTTTCCAGAGTCTTCATCATAAAGGGGTGTTGGATGTTGTCAAATGCTTTTTCTGCATCTGTTGAGATAGCCATGTGGTTCTTATCCTTGGTCTTGTTGATGTGATAAATTATATTAATTGATTTGCGTATATTGAACCAGCTTTACATCCCTAAAATGAATCTTGTTTGATCGTGGTATATGATTTTTTTGGATGACTTATACGTAATTTTTAGTATGCCTGAATTTTGCCTCGTCTCATGCCCCATCACATGAAGTCTGGTGTGGAATTTTCTGCTGTATCATCATGTCAGTATTCAGAAGGTTTGGATTCAGGAGTATTTTGCTATTTAAACGAAGGATGCTCAACCTGTCTGAGCAGTTTTTTTTGTTTTTTGGGGTTTTTTTTGTCAGTCATGAGCCTGACCTCTGGGCCTGGGCGCTGTCCCTCAGCTCTTCAACTCAAGGCTAGCTCTCTACCACTTGAGCCACAGCACCACTTCCGACTTTTTTTTTGCTTATGTGGTGCTGAGGAATTGAACCCAGGGCCTCATGCATGCAAAGCAAGCACTCTACCACTGAGCCACCTTCCCAGCCCCTGTATGAGCAGTTTTGATTCTTAAAAAGTGGAAATGCCCAAATGACAATGACCCAGAGAAAGTTGAATCTTACAGCAGCAGCTAGAACGATTCAGGGGAGACAAGAGCGCAGAGGCCGGGCGATGTGTAGAAAGCTGTTGAAGTGTCTTTACTGGCAAATGCTACCTGTAGAGCTAGAGCAGTGCGAGTGCACAAAGGGAAGGGAGGGCATGAACCCAAGAAACTTGTGAAGACATGACTAACCACATATGTTGACTGTTTAGAGAACTGTGAGTTCTTGACAACTTGTCATTGAAGTTAGTACACAAATGTCTTATGGCCTGCAACTCCAAGCTCCCAAACAATGGCTGTTCAGTTTTCCTGAATCTGTATTGGCAAAATTTTTTCCCACTGCACCAGCCATCAAAACATCAGGGTTTTTTTTGGGGGGGAGAGGTTGCAGTTTTTAGGGACTAAAAAAATCTAATTAAGTCTCCTTGAAAATGGCTGCTGATTGAAAATTGTTGTCTGTTTTATTTCAGTGCAAGCTGCTAATCAAGCTGTGTGTAGACTCCAGCAGAGGGAGCAGGAACGGAAAAAGGTGAGGAAGGTAGTTGGTTGAGGGCAGGTAACTCCTGGCACTTACCATCATATAGCCTCATTGCTTTGGATAAGAACATTTTCTAAATTTACTTCTTTTTTCTTTTCTTTTTCTTTTCTTTTTGTCAGTAGTGGGGCTTGAACTCTGGGCCTGGTCACTGTCCCTCAGCTTAAGGCTAGCGCTCTACCACTTGAGCCATAGCGCCACTTCTGGTTTCCTGGTGATTTATTAGAGATAAAAGTCTCACAGACTTTCCTGCCCCAGCTGGCTTTGAACTGTGATCCTCAGATCTTAGTCTCTTGAGTAGCTAGGATTACAGGTGTGAGCCCAGCATTCTAAATTTATTTTCTTTTATGCAGTACTTTTAAAAGATATTAAAATGGCAATTTCATCACCATCAGTATTTCTATAATTCAAGTTTTAGATCTCTTTTTTTTTCCTTTTCAACATTTCCATCTTTTCCCTGAAAGTGGTATTTGTCTCATAGAAAGGAGAAAAACGTAAGACCCACCAGACTGGAATATGAATCTTTCCTTTGAGCCTGAAGCATAGACTCTATTATGTATATTTCTTCTAGAAAAGGAAGCATTCATGACTGTGGATTGGTTATTTAATGAATACTCATAGGAGTATATGAATCATTTGCTGGACAGTGCTTTGCTTATTTGAATTATATCTTAACTAAATTCAGATGTGGAAAAGTAGTGTAAGAATTTAAGTTCCAGTGATGATAATTTGATATTTTCACTTGCTGTTTTCAAAGTGTTTTTGTTATTTATTCATTGCTCTAGAGCAGAAAAGATATATCTTTTACTAATAGCAAATGTTAAAATACTAAGTCATTTTGGAAATATTCCAAAACATTTGCTGATAAATATACACACAAAAAGGAAGTGTGTTATAGTTAATTCAGACTATCATTGTATAAATACATAATAGAGTGAACCTTTGCAGAATTTTAATTTCTATATCCTTCACTCAATTCTAGATGTTGATATAAAGTGTGAAAATTCAACAATTTGGTTATTTAAGCATTACTGAAAAGACTCTGGCCATTTAGATGGACAGATGGGAAGGCTGGAAGATTGCAGCAGGCAGGCGAGGTCAGGTATCAGGGCCCTGCTAGGCACATGGATGGAATAGCAAGGCTGACTGCTCCAGGGATGCATCTGGTTTCAAGTCAGCACCATTACTGTGCACAGAGAGAACTGCAAAGGAAAGCACCGGGCGTGAGCAGCCCTACCAGGCTGGAAAGCGTATAATTCCTAACTTTATATTTTGATAGGTGCCAACTGGTATGAGAACTTTAATTTGTTAATTTAAAGACAGTTCCTACATTTCCAGAGATAACAGTTTAGGAGTCCCAAACACTAATACTAATGAAGTGTAGAATATAGGAGAAGGTTAAGGTTATGTGAGAAAGACTTGGTACAGTCTTAGCAAGAGGAGTCACTTATTAGGAAAATTGTGGCTTTGAAACCTGAGTTGTTTGGAAACAATAGTGCAATTGCTGGAAGATAGGAAGAAAGATTCTACAAGGTAAAATATAGTTCAAGGGGTAAAAAGGTGAGCAAAATCTGTATTCTGATGAAGCTGGGGTATGGATATTTTGATATTTCTGGGCATAATTGTGGAGGCTGCGGAATATTAAATAATTTGTTACTGGGGATATCAGAAACATTTCTGACTATGAAAAGCAGAATAATACAGGATATCTCAAAGTAAAAAAGAAAAAGTACATACCCATAATTTTGTAATCACAGAAGAGAGAAGATTGGAATGCAAGACTGCCTGTGCCAAAGTCCTAGATCCCATCTGAAAAACTAAAAATAAAAGGAAAAGGACTAAAATGTGGCTCAAGTGGTAGAGTGCTTGCCTGGACGTGAAGCCCTGGGTTCAATTCCCCATACCACTGGAAGAAAAAAAAAGAATGTCAGGTGGAATATTGGCTGTACATACTAACATCTGGAAATCTCTTGGCTTTCAAAATACACATAAAAAGTATTCTGCATTCCTGTTGCCTACCTGGCATGATGCTTTATGACTTAGGCAGTCTCAGGGAGTGGGCACTCACATGTTAACTTGTGTAAACTTCAGAAAGCAGTTAGAGTTTTGGTAAATGCAGTTATTGTCATTTTGGGGCAGAATGAACCTAAAATTATTACATTACAGTATGGATAGTTCTTGTCATGTTGACTATGTTCACAATACCTCTGGTGCAATACCTCTGTCTACAGTAGGGAAGATAACCAACTTGGGTAAAATCACCTGGTGGTTTCTTCTGTTTCTGGTGGTTACTTGCATTTACTGGCAAATTGTACTTGTCTTTAGACAAGTCCCTGGGCTTTAAGCTCCTCCTATACAATATAAGTACCTGTTCTACTCACCTCATAGCTAGGTGGAGTAAACTGTCCTACACTTTATACAAAAAGGCTTTGTAAATGTCAGGCAGCATTTGTTGGTTACTAGCTCACTACCTTTGTGTATGCCAGAATGCTGCTCCAGGCTGAGAGTTGGCACTTGGGAACCCTACCCAGTTTGCGACTTTTCATTTCAAAACATGCTGTCCTATGGTTTTAACAAACAACCTTATTGGGTGTAGAAGCACATAACGGGCTGTAGTCCCAGGACTTGGGATGCTGAGATAGAAGAATTACTTGAGCCCAGAAATTCAAGATCTTCCTAGGCAATCTATCAAGACTCTGTCTCCAAAAAAACAAAACAAGCCAGGAACCGGCAGCCCATATCTGTAATCCTAGCTACTCAGGAGGCTGAGATCTGAGGATCATGATTAGAAGCCAGCCTTTGTGAGACTCTTATCTCCAGTAAACTACTCAGAAGAAGCTGGAAGTGGCACTGTGGCTCAAGTGCTAGAGTGCTAGTCTTGACTACAAAGAGGCTCAAGGTCAGTGCCCAGGCCCTGAGTTGAAGCCCCATGACCAGCAAAAACAAAAAAACAACAAACAAAACCCTATCAAGAAGAACATTTTAGTTTGTTATTGGCAGTATTATCTAAGGGTTGGTTGAATTCAGAACTTCACACTTGTTAAACAGAAGCTCTACCCTCACCCCTTTGTCCAGTTTTAGTTATTTTTCAGCTAAAGCCTTTGATTTTTGCCTGGAGCCAGCCATCATTCTCTCACCTATAGCTCCAACATTGCTAGGAGTACGATTATGGGGCATCATGCCCAACATATTTGTTGAGATAGAAGTTTCTTTTACTAGGGTTGGCCTCAATCACAATCTTCCTGATCTCTGTCTCCTGAGTAATTAAGGTTACAGGCATGTACCATTGCTCCTGGCCCTTTTGGTGGAATATTAAAATTATTTTGCAATATACTGAAATATTGTTTCACTGAGAATTTAATACAGTCTGTTAAACCTACACTTGTAGGAAGCTACTCTGATTTTCTTTTCCTTTTTTTGTGTGCCAGTTTTGGAGCTTGAACTCAAGGCCTGTGCACTTGCTTGGCTTTTTCACTCAAGGCTGGCACTCTACCACTCGAGCCATACCTCCATTTTGATGGTTAAAAAAATTGTAGATAAGAGCCTTACAGACTTTTCTCCTGGGCTGGCTTTGAACCTTGATTCTTGTATCTCAGTCTCCTCAGTAGCTAGGATTACAGGTGTGAGCCACAAGTACCAGGCTTCACTTAAAAAAAAATATTATTAAGGTATTATACACAGGGCTACCATTTCATATGTCAGGTAATGAGTACACCTTTTTTTAGACAATGTCACCTCTTCCTTTACTTTCCCCCAGTTTCACCTTCCCATCCCTGCCCACAAGTTACACAGGTTATTTTTTACATAGTGTATACTAAATAGCATAATGGCATTTGTTCACCCTTCCTCCCTCCTTACCGTTTGAACTAAGGGCCTGTGGTTGCTAGCACTCTCTGATTTGAGACATGTCCCATGCCTTGGTTTTTCTCTTCTTAAGCAGTTTAATAAAATTAGCCTTCTTAAAGTCATTGGAGGGAAACATTTTCACAGCCCAGCAAATAGTAGTGATTCTTAAGGTGTTTTTTTGTTTGTTTTGTCTTTTAGTGCTAATCTAATTAGCAGAACATTTGAAGTATGGGTCTTTAAGGATTTTTTAAAAAAAATTTTACTGCCAAAGCTAGCTTTTTCTGAAATTTTGATGTGACAATGATTTTAAGACTTCATGATAAAATTGAAATTTTTCATTAGCAAATTTGTTCAAAGCAGAAATGACCTCTGTTTGCATTTTACTACCTAATGTTAATTGTTGGTTTTGGTTATCCTGCTGGCACCTTGTGTATATTTGAAAGGCTTTCAGAACAAAGAAAGATGGGAGTAGCATTGGAATAAAATAGACTATTGCCATTAATCATGAATTCTTTTATATCAAGACAATTTGTGGAATTCTGTGGGAAGTAAATTGATAAGCATCATTCATCCAAATCACATTTCCCACAATTGATCTGAAAGTACATTCAAAAGAACAATAAATGCACATTCCCCAGTTACTTGGCATGTCTTAAGAATTACCACTAAGGCAAAGTTGTGTGTTGGGTGCTGGCAGGCAGTAAGAGTCATGAAATGAATCACTTGATTTTAAAAGTACTCCGTCAAGAGACTTGAGTTAGTTCATAGTATCTATCAACTCACATGCATGCTTCAGCTTTTGAAGCACACTGGTGACAACACTGAAGTAAATGTGGAAGCTTTTATTTCATTGTGCTCACAGCTAGGATGCTCCTTTATGAGCTTCTTGTGAGAGCAGAGTGATCATGCAAAACTGTGATCTTGATAGGGTTGGAAAATAAATACTGTTGCCCTTTTTTTTGGGGGGGGGGTGCTAAGGACTGAATTCAAGACCTTGCACTTGATAGGCAAGCACTCTTCCACTGAACTAAATTCCTCACTCCATGCTGCTTTTCTTTTATATTTTCTAAATTTTTAGATTGGGAGATACTAGGACTTGAACTCAGGGTTTTGCTCCCTGCCTGACATTGTAAGAGAATGTTAGAGTG